ATTCGGGTGCGCAGCAGCGCGCCTCACTACGCACGATCGGAATTTGGGTGCGCAGCAGCATGCCTCACTACGCACGATCGGGATTCGGGTGTGTGGCAGCGCGCCTCACTACGCATGATCGGGATTCGGGTGCACAGCAACGCGCCTCACTATGCACGATCAGAATTCGGGTGCGCAGCAGCGCGCCTCACTACGCACGATCGGGATTCGGGTGCGCAGCAGCGCGCCTCACTACGCACGATCGAAATTCGGGTGCGCAGCAGCGCGCCTCACTACGCACGGTCGGGATTGGGCTGCGCGGCAGCTCGCCTCACTACGCACGATCGGGATTCGGGTACGCAGCAGCGCGCCTCACAGCGCGCGATTGGGATACGGGTGCGCATCGGCTTGCCTCACTACGCACGATCGAGATACGGGCACGGACGGGCAAGCCGAGCGCATCGCTACGCGTGATCATGATAGGGGTGCGCAACTGCGCGCCTCACTTCTATGTTGTGTGATTTGAGCTGAGTGTTTTCCTTGCAGGATACAGGAGCCCCGATCGACCCTCCCGTGGGTGACAGACACATCGTGAGGTATAGGGTCCGATCGGCGTGCCGGCAGAGCACTTCTACCGGTCGACAATGTGAGCGGGTCTAATACCTCTATGTTGAACTTGCGCCCCAAATTCCGTGAAGAACCACTTGAAGACGATAAGTCGCCGCTGCCGGACGGAGAAGATGCCGCACACACGTCTTGTCCTTGAGCATGAGTACCCAGCGTAGGAATGAGTCGGGCAGCATAGTCTTCATAAGGATATAGAAAAGGAGGACTATCGACTTCCACGTGTGCCTCGGAACAAAGGGCAGTCACCCGCGAAGCGACCGGTTCCGAAGGCGTCGAGAGTGTCGTCGACTTAATCCCGGCGGTGCTCAGTTTCCCGATTTGCCTTTGCTTTTCGACGGGCAGCCCATTGTATCGTGGAGATCGCTGTTACACCACAGACAATAGCGGAATCTCGTGCGTGCTTTGTACGCTTGTTCAGAGAGATCGTAGTGGGACCATGGGGCTGGAGCTGCTGCCCCGGGCCGGGGGCTAGATGCGGTGTTTGTCTTCGTCTTGCTGCATCCTCGGCCTTTGCCGGGGCGGCCACCATCCCGGGCGGCTGCGAGTCTGTCCCCTTCATTGGCTGACATGACCTCGCTAATTTGGTTGGTTGGCGTTGCCACCGCGACGACAGCCACTTTCGGTCGATGCTGATCTCTGCTCAGGCCTGCCGCAGACAAACGGTGGAGGTTCTTGACCTCCTTGTCCGTGACAATGATCTGCGCGACCTTGTCGAAGAGCTCCGTCGTTGTCGTCAGGGTGTCCTCGACGTGAGTCAAGGCGTTGCCCAATGCTGGACACGACCTCGAGATGAAGTAGTGTTTGACGACCTTGAAGCCCATTTGAATGTTTGCGATGGATGTCAAGCGTTAGTACTCGGCAATCCGGTCAACACTCGGCAGCGGGCCTTGTTCGAAGGTCATCAGCTTGTCTATTGCCTTGATCTTCGGCGGCTCTACTTCGAACCGCTTATGCCACGCCGCCTTTAGATCATCCCAACTGAGCTTGGTGTACAAGTCGGCAGCCACCACTCCGTACTTGGACAAGAGATTGTCCAACCATGCTTGGCACGTGGCGCCCGACCGGGAGTATAAGTACTCGTGATGCTTGTGCTCACTGACGTGGTGTAGCTGCAACTTGAGCTCGAACTTGCGGAACCATGGAATCGGGTCCGTCTTCGTCGAGTCGCAGAAGATCTCCTGCCCATCGAACTTTGGAGTTGTCTTGCGCGGTTCCAATCTCGAGTGAGTGGCAGCAGTATAGATCCGCTGCTCCAACTGTTGCGTTGCGCCGTCCTTGAGGGACCCAACGTCAATCTCCAATGCCTCGAGGCGATCGGAGGTGTTGGAGGAGCTGGCAATGGGGGCGGCGACGGTTTGTTCCAGCTGCTGGAGGCGGCTGTTGACTTGGTCGAACACCTGATTGTGCGTCTGAACCGCGTCGTCGAGGTTGTGGATGTCCTCCTGCTGTGCAATGCACGTGGCCAGGAGGTCCGTGAGATGGGAGAGGAGTAGAGCGATCTTCCATCTTGCCATTCTCGCCCTCGGCCCGCCAGTCCGCTGCCATTGTGAGCAAAGCTCGCTCTCCGTTGAATATCTTCTCGCGTCTTGAATTCGTTCTTCATCGGCAGCCTTTGCTGCTGCATCGTCTTGCTGGCGCTGCTGTTCAATTGCCAACAGACGTGCCTTCTCGGCGTCCTCCCCCTTCTTCTTTGCTGTGGCTGCTACCGCATCCGACCGTTGCTTGGCTTCGGTAATCAGAAGCAGCATCCGGGCCTGATAGCCCTCGTCCGTTTCCCCGGACTTCTGGTCCATGACGGCTGTTTGCGAGCGCATGAGCATAGACCAGGCTGGGGCCCTGCTGACGTGGCCTGCGGATGTGGCCTGCTGACGTGGCCTGCTGACGTGGCCTGCTGACGTGGTCTGCTGATGTGGTGTGCTGACGTGGATTGCCGAGGTGGTCTGCTGATGTGGCCTGCTGATGTGGTTTGTTGACGTGGCCTGCTGACGTGGCAACTCACCAATGCCACCGCAGGGGGTACTCGGAGACAGATAGAGAAGATAAGACCAGAGGAACAACATAGGTGGGGAGGGGTGCCTGGGATAAAATACTCGTTTGCAAGTTCAGTAGGCCTCCCAATTCCCCCTGAAGTGCGAAATTACCAATGAGAAAAAAAATCCGGACTTTCAGACTGTAAAAGATTATCCGATAAAGAATTCTGAAAATAAAATACAACAAAATGCAAGGAAAATGAGCAATAGTGAGATGAGAATGTTCAGATTGCACAATCACATTGAAAGCCAGATCGTATCACAGTGTTCAAAAAGCAGCATTGCACCAATGTGATACCATTGGAGAACCGTAGCACTGAAAACCAATGTCAATGAGAGCTTGCTCTCGCCACCACCAACATATGTATCCAGTCCCTATCTCCCTACTTGGCGCTCGGCGCCCAGACTATTCCCTACACAGCTACTACTAGCCTACTAATTGACAATGCAACTGTTGACATCAGCAGCCTCCAAAGTTCTTGAAGATTTCGCCCATGCAGACCATCGCCAATACCAGGTATGTGCCCTCACATCATCATCATCATCATCCTTCTCTCTCTCTCCCTCGTCTTCTCACGTCTTCCCTTTTGTACACCCGAAGACCACCCCTGCGCCTCACTGTATATCCAAGCCCTCAGCCAGCAATGGAGGCTGGGCGCCCTGCTGAGGGCAGCGCCTTGCTTCTTGCACGACCGCACGCGCTTGCAGCTCGCCTCTCAGCACCAGCAGCAGCCCACGAGCATTCGCTCCAGCAGCGCTGCCGCTAGCATGCGAGTGCTTGAATGTCTCCAGCGAGCTCTTTCCTATGTGGAAAGAGCGTGCCTGTCTTCGCAGCCTGGCTGGCCTGGGCCTGGGCCCAGGATCTTCCTTTAGGCCTCAGGATGCTGCGCCTCTGGTGCGGCTAGTGGGCCTCATTCAGTTGTGCCTCCCAACCGTCTGTGTATGAGGCTGTGAATCTCGCCCAGGGCCTGCACTTTCGGAATTGCCTAGAAGGCCGTGGAATTTCCTTGCTGCTCGGCCTGTGTTTCGTCAACCAACTGGCGCGACGAAACTGCCTTAACCCCAAATACGAATTTGACAGCTTAGGGCCTCTCGTGATTTGTTAGGCCCGGCTTCACTTAGGGTAGGCACATTTGCAGCAAGGGCCCCTCAGGCCTGCCGAGGACCCGGATCCTCGCATTCCCTCCTCCTTTTCTTCGATAGTCCTCTGAGAAGTCCTTATGTAACAGGCTGCTTCCCTTTTAGCTTTCTATCGTAACTTGAGATAATTTGGGGAGCAGTCTTCATTAATTCCTCTCTTGTGAACCACCGGTCTTCTTGAGGATCAATGTGATGTTTGAACCGCACTCGATATTGCATCTGTGGCTTTGGCGGTCGGCTCCTTCCTGGAGGTTTGGGCACAGGCATCAGCTTGTGCTCGATGATATCGTCAATGTCCACGTGTCCGTCCATGGATGGGGGCAGCATTGATCTTCTGGACGGAAACTGATCTGTGGCGGCGAAAGGTGCCAACTTGGATGCATGGAAAACAGGGTAAGTATGTAAGTGTGCAAATCACGTATGAAGGCCCACCCGGTTGATCCCCTACAATGTCTAAGATCTCCCAGGCGCCAAAGTATTGTGGCATCAGTTTACGTGAAATCCCAAACTCCTGACCTAGTTCAGATGACTTTACCCAGACTCTATCACCTACCTCAAGTTAGAGGGCCGTCTATGTTTATTCTCAAATGCGATCATAGCATCCTGAAACTTTCTAATATGTTCGACGGCCTGCTGCAGCATCTGTTCATAATTAACAGCAAACTCTATGCTGCCAGGTGCTGCAGTGGATTGCCTTTCTGGTAGCAGAAAGTCAATTGCAGTTTTGGGCTTCCAACCAAGGTGCAGCTGGTTGGGAGTCATACCAGTAGTATTGTGCACAGCATTGTTGTACAGGCTGGCGACGAGAGGTAACTTCTCGTCCCAGTCATCCTGACTTGGCTTAATATAATTCCGAAGCAGGTGCTGTACTGCCCGGTTCATCTGTTCTGCCTGGCCATTTGACTCAGGGTGATTCCCTGACGTCATTTGCAGCTTGGTACCCATCTGCTCAACTGTTGCCTGCCATAGTTCGATGGTAAACCGTACATCCCTATCACTTAGGATCGATGTAGGTAGTCCAAAATCCCTAACCTAGTTATCCAGAAACAGTTTGATGACATAGTCAGATTTAGCAGTTTTTGGCATAGTGCGAGGCACAGGGCCTCGATATGCCCTACAGGGCCTATTTTCCACACATTCGGCCGCCCTAAGTGAAGGCAGGCACGACCAAGGCCTACAGGCCATTTTGGGGTCACCACGCAACTGGAGAAATTCAGGCAGTTGTGCAGCGATAGTTGGTTGGAAGCGCCCAGGCCCAGGCTGCCTTTCATTGCATGTAAATGAGGCAGGCCCTGGGCCGGATACACAAAGTGGACTGAACAAAGGCTGAGGGCAGTTGGGTGCTGGTAACCACCACCGGCCTTTGGCCTGTTTACTTCGAACTGAGGCTCAGCCTCGTGGGGCCTACCGGAAGCTTCTGGGCCAGGACCCAGTACCGCATTACCGGACGCAGCAGCAGGCCACTTCGATATAGAGAAGGGCCTGCCTACGGATTGGACATTCGGGCACTGGCTGCATGCTGCGCTAACGCTGGCCAGGCTCACGCGCTCACGGGCGAGCTGGAAGGAGCAGGCAGCCATAGTCGAGTTGTGCTGCTGTATGCTGGATGGGGCACATGGTGGTCCTTGGGTGCATGTGGCATCTGTGAGTTGGGGAACGAGGTTGTGAGTGGTATGAGAGACATACCTGGTGCTTGAAGCGTACAACATTGTCCGAGATCTGCTCGTACTTCGGGGAGCTGTTGACGTCATCATCGGCATCGTAGAGTGGGCTAGATAGGATCTGCCATCTGTAGTTTGGGCGCGGAGAACCAGATAGGATATCAGCATTGGTTCTTCGTTGATGATGATGAGACTATTCCAACATTGTCAATTATGAGTTTTTGGTGTCCTCTTATTTGGTGAAACTCGTAATGCAATTCTGCTATTGGTTCGAGGTCACGACTATCTGGTCTCATGTGTATGATGCAGTTTGATTTATGAAGTTCGCTATTGTTCATCTTCCTTGCAATTTGGTATCGACAGCCTTGTAGGGGTGGGGTGGATATCACGACCGGTACGATTCCACTTTTGAACACCGTGTCCTGGTTGTAGTGGTTAAGAGACTTGGCTCTTGAGGCTGAAGTCGCCGGTTCGAATCTGTGCGTGCACGGAGGAGGACTTAGGCCCAGATGTACGGAATCCATACTACTTTACATCTAACTAATCAAAATAAAAATAGAATAATTTGTTGGTCTATCTTGCCCAAACTTATCACCTGGAATCTACCCCTCCCTCAGTTCTTCCTGAATGTCCCTTGTCGCCAAGGTCCCTGAGCAATCCGGACAGCATGCGTGTCTAAAGGTGTGCACACGGCCCACCCCTGTGCCCCAAGTCCTGCTGAGCTGGCCAGCCCTGCACAGTCTTTATCCTCGCGTGCAGCGAGCCTTACACCGACCGATTGGCTGATCATGAAGCGTTTTTATGGACGGCCCCCGAAGTCCTCAGCAATTATTTAACGTCGCAAACAGGACGACGATCACAACTAATGGAAGGCACCCCGCCGATGCTTATTTATAAACGTCCGGTCTTGTCTGTCCCATAGGGTTGCCTGCCCTTCAGAACCCGTCTACAACGCAACTAGCGGACAAAGGACAAAGCAGCAAAGCATGCGTGCCCTACTCCCGGTGGGTTGGCATGGTGACCGTGACCCAGTGCTTCGTCCAGGGCCCTTCATATTGCACCACCCTCTCCTTCCAGATGCTCCACTTGAAGACCGACGACTCTCAAGGTTGAGCGCACACGACTCCTCACATGAGAGGACTCTCAAGACAGAACACACATCCTCACGGTAAGAAGTGTCGAAGAGGGTAGATAAGGTTAGGTGCAACGTACCTCAAAATAACTGCCCCCAACCACAAATATTCTCACCAGATGACCCGATGTTGATTGTGATGACCAATTGCTGCTTCGGCACAACCAGCATTGCACCACCGTTCCACATCAGCATCAATCACACACCAGATACTTCTCATCACACAGCGAGCACCCAATCTTCACCACTTAGCCTTCCTGGCAAACCCCTCTCCACACCACACACAACACCCATGGACACAGCAATTCTCGTACACTTCGCTCTGTAGTCAGTACGTAACCCCTGCTGGTACTCTTACCCGCTCACACAAACGGGACTTATCTCAAGAGCCAAGTCTCTTAACCACTACAGCCAGGACACGGTATTCAAAAGTGGATGTACAACCATTAACATCTGACAGACAACAGAGTTTGGAACTGTTTTTTGTTCATTGTGCTTCTGTTTGCGAACTAGTCAAAGTCAAAGTAGTTTCGTTTGTTGGAACCTGAACTTACATGTTGGACCCAAACGTATATACTCTCTGACGCAGCCACCGATTAATTAGTTTAATTATTATAAATCAGTCTGTGCACTACGCTGTGGTAAGCATCAAAGAGTGACTTAGTGCAGATTGTGTACAATTCTGTAGCTTAAGAGCGATAGGGATACCGCTAGTGACGACGACCGGATCGTGCGATCGGCTAGACGCCCGATTGCCCACGTGGCATTAGGACCCGAGGGTGATAGGTTACTGTTCTGCCAACTTAGGGAGAGGCAA